TTGGGAGTGAAGGTAAGCCTGGGAAAAAAGAGAAGGGAAGGGGTGAGCGAAAGTGGTATGTTAATTTTTGGTTTTGTTTCTCACTACTGAAACCTAGTTTAATTGGCAATAATTTGCATTAATTTTCCCCATGTGACAGTAATCGGTACGTGGTGTCCCTGTCTTATCTCAACACATGAGCCTTTTCATCCCTTTTTCTCCATCTGTCCTGTTGAAAAGGGGAAGAGAGAGAGCGGCTGGGTGGGCAGCTGGCGGTTAGTCAAGGTGAACTCACCGCGTCTCCCTTCAAGGTAGATGTAGAAAGCAATTGAATCCCACTTACACTTCCTCTTCTTACGGGCAAGCAAGTCTTCTCCACACCCGTGTGGCCCCCCGATGGAATCAGTCCAGCGCATGCCTTCTCTTGCACTGCAGGGACCAAAACTGGATACAGTTTCCAGGCGTGGTCTTGTAAGTGCAGGTTGTCGCTGAGTTGGGACATGAGCTTCTGTCAACGTTACATCTCTACGAAATTTAAAACCTAACATTGTAGCGTATTTGAAAGAATTTTGTATTTGCATGTTATATATATTCTTACATATGTTCTTATATGTAATGAAAGTTAGATAAGGAAGAGCAGAAGAAGGAAATTTCCCTCTTAATGAATGATTAGTAGCGTTGTCTGGTAGTATTAGCATTATTTACTTCCTTACAGGAGAAGGAAGCTTTTCTCTTAAAGAACAAAATTTCCTGCTTCTTTAAGGTAATAAAACTTTCCTGTAGATAATTTTTTCATTTTCCAAGTTCAAAATGGTTTCTGAAAGATACATTGCAAGAACTGGAGATTTTTAATAAAGATTCTACAAATTATTGTTGTTGCTGTAAATTTAGAAAGATTTAAACTGTTTCTCTTAATTCTCCTCTCTTTCTGTCATCTCACCCCATATTATCTGCTGTACATTTCTGGTTTTCCATTTATTGCATCGTAATAGTGAACAAATGTGTCATTAATGTTTTCTTGTTAAATGTTTTCCATCCAAATCCTTGCCTTAGATACTTAGAACTATCTGAAATACGTTTCCTTTACATACTAATCTAAGTTATGTAAGTTTATTCAAAGCTAGAAATACTGAACACTGCAATGCATTTGGTTAGCTAATAAAATATCACAATTTGAATTAGAAACCGTATCTTTAAATTACCCTCATAAAATGGTTTGAAAGAACTACATTAGGTACTTAATTTAGGAGACTTGATATACACTTAAAAAAAAAAACCCACAGGATTTATCCTACTTGTTAACGCTCTTTCCTTTGCCTTCCAGTAATTACTTTTCAGTTTCAGCAGTTTTTAGTTCTCCTAGGTTGTTTTTTTTTTTTCCCCTCCTGCCTAGTGTTACTTAACTTGTGCATTCCTGTGAAGGACAGCATTTGCTTGTTCAGCAGTTACAGTAGACATGCCGCTACATTGCATTGTGCTGAAATGAGAGCTAGAGTCTCAAGGTTTGTTTTCCGAGTCTTTTATTTGCCTCATTCAGGAGAGTTGAATCTTCTCTCCTTAAATAAGTATTGCTCTTCTAGGTTATATTTCAATAAAATAGTACAAAGGAATGAAAGTCCTTGGTTATTTTCATTTAAGGAAGAGATACAGGGAGGTCTACCCCAGATCCATTTGTGACATGGGATGCCATTAATCTGTGCCTGTGCGTTGCTAAGGTCACTGTTGTGCTGCATCAGTATAACACTTGGGACTGTGAATTCTAAAAGAAATTCCAGTTTGTTGTTTGAATTTGCAGTAAAACTATATCCTTCATTAGAAAAATGAACGCCTGATTGAAAGGGCTTGAATAATTGCTCAGAGCTGTGTAAGTGGTTAGATGATTTTCTTCTTGTGTTCATAGTATATAAGTTCCAGATTTTTTTCAAGTTTCATCCAAGGCAGATGTCCACTCATTTTCCTTTCCTTTCAAAAGAAAATAAACATTCCTTGTTTAACTTTTTCACCTGCTTGTACCCATTTTGATAAATTTTCTCTTTCTGATTTCTAATTTTTGATTAGATATTTTTTGAGATGACTGTTACATAAAAGAAAAAAGGTGTTTGTAACACTTCTTTGAATTTATATTGGTTGCTTTGGATTTTTTTGTTTCTTTTATCCTGAGATTAGAATGAATCTTTCACAAGAGAACAAGGTTTGCTTAGTAACGAGTTACAGAGGCAAAGATTTTGAAAATGAAATCAGAAAAATAAAACAAATTCGACAAAACTTTAAAAATCTGGGCTTTGCCTCCAGAAATTCAGTGAAATACATTGAAACAATTTGGTAGAATGCAAAAGTCAATTTGTTGGCATGGGATTGTCTCTTCTTTGGACTTTGTAGATGATTCAGCATTTCTGCAATAGTTTTACTGTGACCTTCCGTTTTCCTTATTAACTTACTATGTAAAGTTTAAGTATTAATTTGATATCTGTAGGTGTAAGAGGAAAATCTTCAATTCCTAGACAGTGTATGTATGTGCTGCGTGGTTAAATTGTTTGGTTTACAGTATTGAACAGGTATTACAGCTGAGCTGTGTAGATCATGCAGATATAAAATGCAAGATGTCCTATTCTTCCAAACAGTTGCTTTGGAAAAGGAGAGAGGAACACTGATAGTATTGGAATGTTTCTTGTAACAATTTTCTCTAATGTATTGCATAAAATTTTTATGTGGTGTACTGTATAAAGTGTACCTGTTAAACAGGATTATTTAATGTGCCTTTCTAAATGCACAAGGTTAACAAGACAATTAAACATTTCTACAACACCTTTCCAAGATAAGTTAGGTAAGGAATTAATTAGACTCTGTGGCCCTCTGACTTAAGTCAGAAGCAAGTTAATGATTTTTTTTTTCCAATAGTTAATACTGAAATGTATTATAATTTTTGTTAAAGAAGAATTTATAATTTTCTACAAAGAGCTGTTTCACTAAATAGAGTCTGGGAGTGTATAAACCAAAAGATGATGGATTGATAACTGAAGAGACTTTAAGAGAGATAAATTTATGCATGTGTGCATTGTGAATGAATAAACAAAAGAAAGTATGAGGTGATAAAATATGGAGGAAAGTTTGAGACCAGAAGTAAGTGAGACCAAGAGGATCACTAGAAAGCTTAAAGGATTAAAATTGATGCAAAACTCTTGGGTCTGTAGGGAGGAAGAAGATGAAGCAGAGTAAGAAATGAGTTCTCACTTCAGTTTCCTCTTGGAAAAGGTCAGGTGTGTAGTCAAGGAAGGGGAATAGGAGATTTGTGAAAGGAGCCATAGAGACTGTAAGAGTAGCATTCCCTTTAAGCAGAGAAGTGGAGATGGGTCAATGGACAAAGAAAGAGGAAAAACCTAACTTATAAAAAGCACTGTGCAGTGGTGGTAGGACTTTGGGGATGGCAAACAGTAGCTGAGAATGTAAAGGTACAGAGAAAGAGGTCAGAGTGCAGTGAACCTTCCAGAGACTAAATTGTTCTGGTTTATTTCCTTCCTACTTAATGCCAGCTTCAATCAGCCCTGCCACAGCATCTCTTTGGGATGGTTCGTATAATTCAGAAAATCGCTCTACCTTCTGCAATGCAAAGCAGTATGGTTAATGTTGAGAAATCACATTTAGGGAGCTACACAGCTCTTCTGGATTGGTAACTCTCTTTGAGTCTCCTGTTGCCAGATTGGGACAAAAATAGAATTGACATACAGCTAACTAGGTATCCGACTGAGAATGACGGAAAGCCTAGGAGGGACCAAGAGTCAAAGCAGGACAATGAATGAATATATAGTTTTTATTTTGAGCAATGTTCAGTAGCTCTGATGTGCCCAGATATTTCTAGTTTGAAAAAGGAAGAATGAGGTAGGAGAAGGTGCCAGTAACAATGTACATTTTTTCCCTTCTCAGGGTGAGAGGTTCTGCATTATTAAATATATGAAAAACTTGCTGGTTATGAGGTTTATTTCAGTCCTGTATTTATTTCTCTAAATCCTAGAATACATGTCTCCAGGGACTTTAAATACCCTAGAGTGCACTGATAGTTTGAAAAAGCAGCTGAACACTGACAGCAGCCTCCCATGACAACTTGAAATATAGGAACCAATGACTTGTCCAAATAGACTATAAACAATTGTGTACCATTGTGAGAGACTGAATCGTAAAGCATTTGTCTCAAAGATTGTTTATCCAAGATAAGGATGGCTACATGGCCACAGAGATCTCCGGTTGATGAAAAACCCCCTGCCAAGATAACGGCTACAAGACATGCGATAGTCGTGTGAGGAGCGGGGCTGGAGCCGCCCACCATGAAGTGTGTGTGCGTATGCAGGAATGTGAAGATATGCTAAATTGCAGGCCTTGAAGGAGAATAAAGGGGCCTGCCAAGACAAGCCCGTGTGTGTGCCGGCCACCTCCGAGCGTGATCACCCGCCACCAAAAAAATCAAGAGACTTAGACCCCGGGACGCCACGGATCCATGGTGGTGACTATCCTTGCAACTCTATCCCAAATGCTTGCTTGATTTCTGTCTTTTTATTCCATTCTGTCCTATCGCTACTAATTCTTTACTTTTGATAATAAAAGCTGTCTTGGGTATACGGCATTTGTCCTCGTTTGTGTCTTAATCTCGCTCTCGAGATCATATCGAAACCTCCCCCGACATTGGATCGGGACATTTAAATTGGCGTCACGGACAGGATCCCTTGAGACGAGAGTGCCGTATTCTTTCCCAAATAAGCGAAGCCTCTCAGGAAAGTAAGGGGGGCGAGTCTGTGTTTGAAACTTATGTGCTGCCTTCCTGAGACGACCGCTTCCCTGCTTTATTTTCCTGTCCTTGAATACATGAAACCTCTCAGGAAAGTAAGGAGTGCAGGTCTTAGGTGCTGCCTTCCTGAGATGACCGCTTCCCCACCTTAAATAGGATGAGTGACCTTAAAACTGCCCCTTTGAGGAGCGAAGTTTTGTTTGAATTTTTAGAAAAATATAATGTGCGACCCTCTGTACCCGGGATGGACTGGGCTCAGGGAAATTGGTATCATTTGCAGAGTGTGGTTGATCGAACAAGCACATTGCAAGAGGATGCGAGGGTGAGATCAGGAAGGGGAAAATCGATTATTTGTGCTGTTCTCGGTGCCAGTTTGGAAATATAATGCGCAACCCTCTGTACCTGGGATGGACAGGGCTCAGGGAAATTGGTATAATTGACAGAGTGTTGTTGATCAGGCAAGCTCTTCACAAAAGAATGTGAGAGTAAGATCAGGAAGAGGAAAATCCATTATTTGTGCTGTTCTCAGTGCCAGTTCGGCCGCTGCTGTAGAGGCGAGGGAACGCTGCCGAAACCTCGTTCGGTCCCTTCAGGGGCAAGTGGCAGACTTAAAGGTACAGCTTGAACGAGAGAGAGACAAGGTGAAACATCTGCAGACTGCTCTTAAGGAGCAACTCCTTGCGGGCACTGCCCATGAGGAAATACCTCCAAGGTCAGGAACTGGTTACCCTTTTGACGACTTGCAGGCAGCAAGAGAAAGAGTAGAGAAATTAGAACCGCCCTCGCTGCGACCCTTGGTTAAGACTGAGTATATTTACGATGATGATCAGGATCAGTCCCCCCAAGTCACAACCAAGGAGGTCCCCTATACTGCCACTGAATTGGCAAAGTTAAAAAAGGATTTCAGTCGAACCCCTGGGGAGTCAGAGATGGAGTATGTGTGTGGAGAGTATCGTTTCTGGGGGGGGATCAGATTTTGCTGAGCGAAAAGGAGGCGGAGGGGTATTGGGGACCAGGAGTATTCTTAATTACTGGGAATCACTGTGCCCCTTGGTCTTTAACTCAGTGGGTAGCCTATTGGGCGAGGGGTTTGAACGCCTTGGAGAGGGGGGATCCCCTCGAAATTATGGGGACTGTTGATCAATTGGTGGAAAGTGTGCAGAAAGCAGCTTGTTTGCAGATGATGTATGATCCAAAATTGGAGCCTAGGCAGAAGTCCTCGATGACAATTACAGGGGAAAATACAAGCAATGCCTTGGGGCAAAAGGGTTGCGGCTGCTTTAGAAGAATTTACGCCTGATTGGCACCACTGGCCCTCGATAGGAAAATGTGGACGTGGGGGGAGGTGGCAGGAGAATTGATTAATTACGGGCGCAAGTATGACCCCGTTAACATTCCAGCTAATGTTGACTGACTCTAAAAAACTGACTCTAGGGGCCTGAGGAGAGCTGAAGTGAAAACGGTTCCGTGCCCTTGGGGTGATAGAAGATCCCTCACTACTCCACCCGGAGGCAGGGACATCCCAAATAAGCACAATTAGCCTGTGGGCAGAGGGATGGCAAAAAGGAATTCCGTGTGATTTAATGGATGGATTGCCAACAGACAAGTTAGAAGAACTGGTGTCAGGACGACCTGATTAAACCGGCAGATACAGAGATGGGCTTTAAAAAACCCACTCCCAGTGCACCCTTTTTAGTCGACTTGTCAGAGACAAATGTCCCTCAAAATTTGCAGGGAAACTAGATTCTTTGCCCTCTGATGGTGAGCAGGGGGGTGAAGGTTGGATACATATCAGATAGCTCACCGAAAAACGGCCAGAGTGATTTACTAATTACAGGCGTTGTAGGGCCAAAACATGTTCCGGTCACATTTTTGATAGATACTGGAGCTCAAATTTCACCTATTAAAACAAAATAACACTAGGTGGATTATTCCATCCTTCTAATAATAACCTGCTTCCGGTTTTTTAGAACGAACCGAGTTGGGGTTTTTTTTCTTTTTTCAGGTGGAGACTCTGAAGCCAGCCAGAAGAAATACATGAAGCTGTTGATTGCTTGCCTAGTTTTGTTGGTGATTGCTTTGTTAATGTTCATAGGGTGGCTGATATACCATCGTAAATGATGTTTTGGCTGATCATTATCACAATCTTTAGTATCTGGGGAAGCTCTTGCTTCCCCCCCACCCCCCGACTCATGGTGGAAAAATGAATTTATTGTTTTAGGTCAACAAGTGGCCGATGCTTGCAACCTTACTGATTGTTGGGTATTATCTAAATCGAACACAAGAGGGTGGTGGTTTTGTAGGGAATAGCAAATGCAACTGAACCTATACATACGGAAAACATTGCCTCAGTGGTGGCCTATAAGTCCATCAATTGTTCACAATGTGGAAATAGGTCACAATATTGTACATTGTTTAACTCTATTGATGAATCTTTTGTACCTCATTGGCCGGGCTGGGCCTGGGTAAATCAAACAGGGCACAGGAAACAATTTTCTAACTTTTGATGCAACACTAACCAATCTGATTGATAGCTATTTGAATGTTACTTGTTTTTGGCACCTTAATTTCAGTGCCTGGGATTGTAAATTTATTCTCAGCTCCCTGACATAAATCAAATTTGGTGGCCAACTAGCGACGGAAATAGAAAAAGGTGTCAGGGGATCAAGATCTGGTTGCCGACCAACGAAATACTCTGCTGAGGTTATGAAAAGTAGGTCAAAATATTTGTGTACAAGTTGTTGGTAAATGGTCAAACCATCCTTTAGGAGTAGATAATACCGCATATTTCTAAGTACCGCGAACCCCCACAGGCCCATTTGAAAGTGGCATCCAGGCATTAAAAGGTCATTATTGAATCTGTGGACATTATGCATACAAGCAATTGCCCAAAAATTGGACTGGGGTGTGTTATATGGGACTAATTCACCCCTTGTTCTTTATGCTCCTGGAGGATGGCGGTGACGGATTGGGTGTTAAGTTACATGATGTTCTCAGTCGATATCGGCGGTCCATTGATACCACTATAGTGGGTGGAAGTGGTCAAACCTGGGGTACAGATGAGTGGACCCCTCAACGTATCATACAACATTATGGGCCTGCCACCTGGAACCCCAATGAACGGATTAGCGGTGCTTGAGAACCTATCTATAATTTGAATCGCATTATTAGGTTACAGGTCGTTCTGGAGATTATTACTAATGAGATGGCCCGTGCCCTGGATCTATTAGCTGACCAGGCCACACAAATGTGGACAGCGATATTCCAACACCTCATGGTTCTCGATGACCTGCTAGCCGAAGAAGGGGGTGTTTGTGGTAAACTGAATGATTCTAACTGTTGCTTAAAAATTGATGACAGCGGGAAAATTGTTAAACAAATTACTGCAGGAATACAAAAAATGACCTCTCCAAACCTGGAAAGCGTGGGACATTGACTTGTTTTCTTGGCTCCCAGGTGGCCTCTGGGTTAAGAGAGTCTTATTTTATTTGTTATGTGGTTTCGCCATGTTGTTGTTTTTACCCTGTGTTATTCTGTGTTTTATACAGTTAATTCAACATGTTGTAACCTATATGCAATTTGTAACCACTGTTTCACCTGATAGTGTTAAACAAATTCACGCTGTGCGTCGAACCACACCATCAGTAGTGCAGATTGTATGAAATGCTCTTTTCTGGCCTTTTCTGCGTAACTATCTTTTCTCAAAACCACCATGGGTCCTGAAGCAATCTTTCAGCCATGGGATGGTGTGAGAGACTGAATCATAAAGCATTTGTCTCAAAGATTGTTTAACCAAGATATGGATGGCTACATGGCCACAGATTCTCCGGTTAATGAAAAACACCCTGCCAAGATAACGGCTACAAGACATGCGATACCCACCACCGAAAACTTCGAGAGACTTGGACCCCGGGACGCCGCGGATCCATGGTGGTGACTATCCTTGCAACTCTATCCCGAATGCTTGCTTGGTTTCTGTCTTTTTATTCCATTCTGTTCTATCACTACTAATTCTTTACTTTTGATAATAAAAGCTGTCTTGGGTATACGGCATTTGACCTCATTTGTGTCTTGATCTCGCTCTTGAGATCATATCGAAACCTCCCCTGACATTGGATTGGGACAACCATGGATACAGAAGATAGTCACGGTTTAAGCAACAGATAGCTGTGAGTATTCTGATTCCATATCACTAGTAAATAGTCTCAGAAAACAAAAATAATCAGATGGTTATTAAGATGTCCAGTATTGGACTTTTGGTGAGCATGCCTCTAAGTAACAAAATTTTAAATGAAGCGATCATACTGAAATTGCATATATCAATAGTTTAAATGGAGTAATTTTGTAATTAAAAGCCAAACAAAACTCCAACCAAAAAACCCACAGTAGAACAGAATTTTAAAAATTCTTGCTAGCGTCCTAGTGAAAAAGTTACTGTTTCCACAGACAGGGACTTGATGACTTCTGATAAATTATGTCCCAATCAAAAAATTTTGCCTTTGACTAAATTAAAACAAGCTTTGCCTTTGGGAGAGGTGAAATACCCTTTTGATCTTTTTTAGTAATGTAACGAAGGTTCAAATATAATCTTTCTCTCATTGCACATGATCATTAATGCCACTCTAATATGAATACCCTGTCTACTGCTGATGGTAACCTAACGCTATGCTGTACAATTCCAGGCAACGACTAGTGACAAGTAATGACTGGTTTTGTGTATCAGTGTCCTAAACTCCTTAGCTTTAATTAACTATTATATTACTAGTATGTGTTTACTAAATATTCCACTTGAAAAATGAATTGGCATGCTAGAATTATCAGTTTGAAGATGTCTTCTGGGCAGCCAAATAGTTTAATTTTTTTCAGTCATTACTGAATGGATACCCTAATAATTCCTCTTGTCAATTGTGTTTTATAGATTTATTTATTTTTTTCCCCAAAGTGCTATATTTCTTGCTGGAATAAGTGTTCTTTGAAATTATGAAACCAAATTGACAAATTATGTAGGTCCCACCTCCCTACTTCATCTTGGTTGTAAGAGCATTAAAGCTTTTTGTAACTAATGGCTTAGTCTACTTCAGAAGACTGAGATAAGTACTCAAGATCTCTTGGCCTGTTAATGGTCCTTAAGTAAAGTTGTGCATCTGTCAAGGGAGAGAATATAGGGTTTTTTTTTGGTCATTCATTCTGCTTGGAATTTAACCTCAGAGCTGAAATAAGATGTTCATGGGCTAAGAATGATATATGATTAGTGGGCGAACTTGGTTTCAGAGAGTCAGTAAACTGAAGACTTTTTAGATCTGATATAAACAATAGAAAATAAGAAATTATAAGGATAGAGTAAATAAAAAAACGCACTTTTTTGAAATAAATAGTTTTCTGAGTTGATGGAAGACTTATACGTTAGTAGGAGCCTAATTTCCAGAGCATTTGTGTCTTCTCTTTGGTTGACTATGTAAACTAAATTATACTAAAGATTCAGTGTGCACTCACACTTCATTAGATACAAGAAAATGCTCATTCAAGAGAGATGGTACAAATGTCATAGCACCAAGAAATGTTTTGGTCAAGATCTGTCGTGGCACAATCAGAGGTATGGACTCCCACTGCCATTGGCTGCTACGTGCCTTGCTCTCTTCTTTGTTTTTGATGCATAAGCTAATATTTTTTTCCTGGAATAAGAATGATTCAGTATTAATCACCTTTTGCATAACCTGTGTATCTTGTAATTGCTGTATGGTTTTATTTATTTATTTTAACCTGACATGCAGATCATACAGCTTCCCACTCCTCCATTCCAAAATCTGCTGATATTATCATTGATGCTTTATTATATGTGCAGTAATATAACATTTTTCTACATGAAATTTCATAGACCATATGTGTATGTATGTGCCACATATATGTGTATATAACCATCTTTACGTACATCATTTTTTTTAATGTATCATGAAATAGAACCTTTGTAAGAGCTCATGCATTACTGTGATTTCTTCTGTAAACTGCCAGAATGATACATAGCACAAAATATGATGTGTGCATATGTGTCTATGAAATGAAAAGAGTAGAGAAATACTTTGAAAAATTATGGCAAATCTCCTCTGAACAGTTTAAGAAAAAATGTATATGCAGCTAGCAGTGTTTGATTAAAAAAAAAGTAAAGCTTGTTTGCAAACTTTTATTTTACATTCCACCTTGTCACTCACCTAAAACATTTACTTTAGTCAAAAGTGTGTCATCTTGGTTGTTGAAAAACTGTGAGTAGTTTCATCTCAAGACGAGAGTGCATCTCAAGATGCAGTATAGTGTGTACTTATCTTCAGTTCCCGACTGTATTCTAGTCTCGTTCAGTTTTTAAACTAGAAATTAGTTACTGCTGCACACATGACCATCCTGACCCAATATTTTTTTTTAATTTTAACTGATAAGAGAAGGGTAAGAACAAAACCTAGTAAGAATTAAAAAAAATTCATGGTCGTTCTCTCATACATGTGCTTCCTCTTTCAATTCTTGAGAGGAAAAACTCGCTATACGTCCTCTTGACCAGAAAAATAAGAGATACAGTGTCTGTTTTGGTTTTCTGTAGAACGTGCTGCTGAGAAAGACACTTAGCCATATTATCAGACTTTTTCCACCTTACTCTGAAATTGAAGAAGAGGCTTTGGGGTATATGTAGCCTAGCCCTAAACTATTGTATGTGCCTGCAGGTATCCTGTATGGCTGACTAGTGTCTTGTGGCTCTGGGAATAGTAATTAGAAAGTTATTGTTACCGAAAATGTCACAACTATAATAGTTTAACCCATATAATATTTCTTTTGCCATGTGGAAGCTTTCTAGATTGTGATTCACGTGAAAAATTAGCAGCAACTAAAATTAGAAACGCTGTGCCATTGTCCTGAATGGTTCATTCACTCACACACAAGAAACATGCTTGTGTTTGCTGGTTACTTACTGATTTGCTTATGTGTTGCTGGAGTGGGATGGAATGATTTGTGCACATTTGATTAGCCTAGAAATGCTCTGGGTTTTTTAATGAAGTGTATAATTTAGATGAAGACATTCCCTAAATTTGGTTAAAATGTCAGTTTGACCCTCTTATGTTTTAATACGTACATTGTAAAGCACTTTCCTTCTATCTCTCGTTGCTCTTTGCTTTTCTTTTCCTGTGGAAAATTTGTATGTACAAATCCAGCAGAAGTTTTGAAGCAGAGACTGGATGGTGGTTCTTCAGAAATTAACTAATCCATGGAATAGAGCTGTTCATAGTCAAGGTGACTAGATAATGAAACAGCCTTTTTTAAGGGTTAGCTTGCAGCTGGTTTTGTGAAGCCCTATTCAAAACCAAAGAATATTAAAGGATGATTTCTAGCTTGAAAATAAATCTAAATGCAAATTTAAGAGTTTACAAATAAGGCTGAGATACCTACATGTTGGAATCATTAAAGTATGCTACGTAAACTACTGTTAAAATTAAGTACTGTTTAATTTTGCTTTCCATCACAGTATGTTCAAGGTTCCTTTCTGAAGTCTTTCAAGAAAATTAAAGGGGTTTATTTTTAAAAATATACCACATTAGAGATGCACAGAAAACCAAACAATGAAACAAAGTAGATCTTGGTATGGCTATTCACTTATGTATATGTTATCAGCATACCAGACGGAAAGTCAGTAAGTGCCTGAACTAAATGTAATATCTCTGTCATATGACAAAGATTAGCCTACAAGGCTAACTCTGTAGCAATACCTGTCATCTTTTAATAAAACGCAATGTTCTTGCATCTCTCAGTTGTTATTTCCTCAGAATCTGAAGGGACATTTCTAATTGATACCTTGAAAGTAAGTAATACTGATTCTAAAAGGACTGAAACTTCAGTATATGACTGTAGTCTAAGAGTGTTGATGGGTATTTTAACAGGATTGATTTCTGTCTTTTTCATCTGCAAAGAATTAAAGTGAGAAACAGGGATTTAAATCCAAAATGCCTTTGAAATATAGCATGCTGTTATGAAATAACATAATTGTACCTTGGCTCTATGTTGTGAAAGTTAGAACAACAAAGCTGATGAATAAAAAATAAAATTATTATTTGGTAGTACTTACTGAAGTTATTTTATGTCTTTTAATAACAGCTGAAGCAT